GAATTTGTTGAAACGTGTCCTGAATTAACAATTAACAACACCAAATAGCGATTGCTTATCGCCTCCCGACGAAATCCATTGAAGGAAATTACAACAACCAGCATCGCGTGATCTGACAAAGCCAACATATACGACAGCAGACAGCGTGAATATGACAATCATGGCAACGCTATAACGGGATATCGAATACAAACAATTGCTGATGAATGCCGCCGACGAAAAGTTGTATACCAAAGAGCCTAGCACAAATAACACAGCGCCAATACACAAAATGCGAATATAAAATAACTCACGCATGGATGTCTATTTGCAGAAGCGTTGGCGATGCAACAATGCTTAAATAGCGTTGAAAACGCATGTGTAAAAACATTATCGATACGCGTCAAAGACCGCTGGTGGCATTTATGCAGCAAAAAACAAAAATCAACAACAAGAGTAAACAAACAAATAGCTGTGCGACCATAAATAACGACCATAATAGTAGCGGCAAACGCGTTTAAAGAAGGAACAATCAACAGCGAGCGGAAACATTCGACTGAGTCTATTCAAAATGACCGCCATCAGCCAGTGGACCGGAGGCAACCAGCTGCTCAAGCGCTCGATATTCTAACTTGCGGTTAGCTGCTTTGTGCTCCGACAACTATGCGTGTGTGTTCCATATGCAAAGAATAGAACGCCAATGGTGGCCCGGGGGCAGGAGCAATGTATCAACAAAGGAAATGCGATTGTATGCGACGCTTTCCGGTCGGACCATGTTCAATGCTCGGAGTTATGTTCAATGGCGTGTGGAGCACTGGCTCAAAACGAAAAATGTAAATGTTTGTAGGCAGAACAAATACAAATCGCCATAGAAATATATATTTATATGTACATATGTATGTGTGAAAAATTGCCGCTTAGACATTTTCTAGAATTTTTTCGAGTTTGTTTAATAATGTTTTTTGTATAAAAATATATACATATAAACTATCGGCATTTGGACCAGAAGTCCACAAGACAATGGAAAGTATAAAAAAGAAAATTAAATTTTTGGAAATATATTTTTAAATGTATCAAAATTTCTGAATCCCACATTGACTCGTTCGAGCACTTCGACTGGTAACCGACGAATGACAGGCATGATGGTTTAATGATGAGGTCTGAATCGAAGCGGCATTGTCCGCATAGACTTTACATATCCCCGCAGGAAATAGTCTAACGGTGTGATATCACATGATCTTGGTAACCAAACGACCAGTCCAAAACGTAAACTATCAACTCACAAAAGTGTTCACGTAATAAATGCAATGATTGATGCGATATGTGTGAAAAAGGCGGCGTCTTGTTGAATCCAAATGTATCTGAGATCACATGCTTGAATTTTAGGCATCAAATAGTCGGCTATCATGGCGCAATAACGGCGGCCATTGACGGTTACGTTCTCAACTTTTTGAAGAAATATGCACCGATGATTCCCCCGGCCGACAAATCACATCAAACCGTTATTTTTTTCTGGGTGAATGGAAGCTCTTGAAATTCTTCAGGTTGCTCTTCGTTTCAAATGCGGAAATTTTTCTTGTTTAGTTAGCCATGGAGCCGGAAATGGACCTCGCTGACCAAAATTCTTCTCTCTACCCGATTATACTTCAATATCAAATTTCAATTTTGAGTTTTCTTGGTAATATATAGTTAGTACGATAGCATGTATCATCAAACGACAAAAAATTTCCAAAATTGGTACAATTTTTTTTTCTGTTCCTTTGACCTGCCTTTGTGATTTATTTTGATACATGCTTGTTTGAAATCATCCATCTCTGACGACTACAAGTAAAAAAAAAACCCGTGCCTGAAAATCGTCGTGTAGAGGCCGTAAAAGAAAATATTGACAACGTAGTTGACAAGCCTACATTCATCAAATGTATAATTACTGGTAACGAGGCGTGAGTTTATGAACATGACGTCGGTGCTGAGCAACAATCTAGCGGATTACGCTCGAAAAAATCGAAGAAACCTAAATTCGATGAAGGCACTGACGGCCATCCCGCGCGATGCTTACAACACGTGTATAGAAAATTGGATTAAGTGTTGGCTTGTATTGGCCTAGGAGAAAATTTTGAAAGCTATAATGAAAATGTTTATCAAAGTAAGTTAAGAAAGCGTTTTCTTTTTCAGTCCGGTTCAAATTTGATCAGGTAGTATAATGTTCATTAGCATATATAGGCTAAATTTATCACCGTGCCAACTACTAAAACTTGAAATGTAACACCATTTGAATACTTATGTAATAGCTCATGAGCAGAGCAAATAACGATAAAAAAAATTAGCGTTTGTAGGCGTTAATTAGCATAAGCAGCAATTTCAAATTAGAGCGTTTTGTGCACGCTCGTTAAAATATATTTATAAATACATATAGGTATACTTTCACCCAGTTTTGAAATACCTATGTATTACCGTATGCGAAGTGCCACAATTTGTGTCGCTGTTTGCACCCAAGTAAAAAGCCATAAAAAGTAGTCATTATTCTACTACAAGCACCATATCTAACATATTGGTACAGATACTTTCACACCAATATATACATAGAAGTACATGCATACTTGAGTATGTACATATGTGCCTGAATCTCGTACATTTTTTGCCAACTACCCGAAAAGTTGCATATTTTAAAGTGGCACTGTGTAAGCTCATTTTTCTACTTCAATAGGTTGAAGTGCTCATCGAAGTGATATTGATGACCAGAAAGTGGTCAGAAGGCGATTATGGTAGCTTATCAAAATGCCCATTCAAGAGTGGTATCTAGAATTGAATGTAGATACGTGCAAAATACTAAAACACATACGAGCGAACATATACATATCTACATACATGTGGCCTCAAAAGAGTACGTAATATCAAGCTAGTGCAAAATAACATTTGGCTCAAGCAGCTCATGACTTCCGGTAGCCGAGAAGCATCCGTTTGAAAGGGAGCTAAAGTGAGAAGGGTCCAGGGTTTTGGACTCGCCACGTAAAAAAAAACACTCCCAATGAAAGGGAAATAACAGCCTCGGATAAGAGACTCCCTTTTGATGAGGACTACTGCAAACGTGTCAAGGATTACGATTTAAGGGCATACAGCCGGAATGTCCGGTCCGTTAATTGGGAAGGCGCCGCTGCCCAGCTGGTTGATGTACTTGTAAAAATAAAAGCTGACATCACCGACGTCCAAGAGTGGCCATATAAATGAGCGCAAATTCGGTGCGGGATTCGTGGTGGGAGAGAGGCTCCATCGTCGAGTCCTGGCATTCACCCTGATGGATGAAAATCTAGATACAATCCGCATCAAAGCGAAGATCTTCAATATACCGCTGATTTGAGACCACGCCCCGACGGAAACGAAGGACTATACGGTAAATTCAACCTACATGATGAAACATCCCCAAATGGGTTGAGTCGATCAAAGCATTCTGAAATTATGCAGAAAACACCTGAAGATGGTGAACCCGATTTTCCAATCGATGATGATGAAGCACACGTTTCATTGCTTGACTGTGTGGAAGATTAAAGCCCACCGTAGCTGGACTTTATCAAAAGGGCTTCTGGCCTGGAAAATCAGCAGCTGACCAGATATTCACCATGCGCCAAGTCTTGGAGAAGATCCGAGCTGCAGATCTGAATAGAGAAAGTAGAAGAGTGTACAATTGCTGACGTACAGATAGTATTGATATCATGGACCTTAACAACCGCGCCGTTACTTCTGCTTTCCGCAGATTGGATAAGGAAGCGAAGCAAAGGGGTCTGGTATTGAACAAGGGCAAAACGAAATATCCCCCGTCATCAAAGAATCAGTCTTAACTTCGAAATCGTAAATAATTTTGTCTATCTTGGAGCCAGCATTAACACCAACAACAACCTCAGCCTCGAAATCCAACGCAGGATAACGCTTGCCAACAATTGCTACTTCAGACTCGACGAACAAGGACTAATTTCTAAAAGTCACTATGTTGCAGAGGCATGGACGATGACAACATCTGATGAGTCGGTGTTACGAGTTATCAAAAGAAAAGTTCTGCCAAAGATTTATGGCCTTGGCGTATTGGCATATACAACAACATTGACACAAGAATTAGGAGACACGCTGACTAGGTCATGTCGTCCGAATGCACGAAAGCACTCCTGTTCTCAGAATATTCGACGCAGTACCCGCCGGGAGAATCAGATTAAAAGCAAGACCTCCACTCCGTCGAACAGAGCAGGTGAAGAAGAACCTGGCTACACTTGGAATCTCCAACTCGAACTAGTTGTTTGTGGGATAGTTTGTAACTAGTTCATTTCACTGCAAGGGATGTAAGAACGCATGAACAAGTACGCGCTTTTATCAAAAAAACACGATAAGATGCTATAACTTTTCTTATTATAGATAGTTTTACTTGTATACAGATAAAAATGTACATACATATGTGATTGAGCAGCAGGAAGATAAAATTTTTCTAAACAGGGATAGTTTGACTTTCCCACCCAACAATTGGAGGGGAAGGAGAAAACACTTTTGAACATAAATAAGTAAACAAGTCTTTATAGATTATTTTTATCGGTATATGAACATATATACATACATGCTGCAGCACACACAGATAACATTGACACATATTTGAACGTTCCCACGACTGTCGGGTATACGAAAAGGGACTTGGATTTTAGTCTGGCTATGAACCAGTAATTCATACATTTCTTAAAAGATATATGTTTGCGTACAAAAAACTCAGATAAAAATGGATCTAGCTTCAAAGACTTCTAACTAAAACCTGCACATAATAGGGCTCCGTTGTTTAAGAAACATTTGTTATTTCAGCAACTGCTGGTCATTTTGAAGCAATTTTATTATTTCACTGCAAGCCTTTCAAACAACACAAGAGATTTTCTTAAATCTGAAAGCTATTAAAGGTCAAATATAATATCCAAGAGTACAAAAGTAACAAACTTCTGTGCATAGATTTGTATATAATTATGAATATGTGTCAAAACAAATATCCAACAACTCACCATCATTTGACAAACACGAATGACCCGCATTCGCACAGATGCCGAACGTATAATTTTTTGAAGACATCGACAACTCGTAGGTCTTACCCTGCAGTGATCGCATATCCAAACTGTGCGTCAAACCACAACAATCAGAAGCATGAAATTAAATCAATGAAATTAAGTTATTATTTTGTATTTATATATGTGAGAATACTATTAAGGACTGTGCTGAATTTCGGATGGATCAAATTTTCAAAATCTCAATAAATTGATTTTAAACATGCTACATTGCAATTAATTTTTACGTCTTTTATCAGCGAAAAACTTACATTTGACGCTCTAAAAAGTTTTACAAACAATTTATATAATCCGAAATTGAGCATATTTCTTCCTCGTAATGAGACCCAGAAGAAGTATATAAAATTAAAGGTTACTTACACTTCATTGCCATGGGTTATCGTAGTGCATGGTGGATTGTTATTACAGGCCAAAAGCGTGGTAAACGAAAAGGCATACACATTTTCTTTGGCGCCAATAAATGACAATTGAGAACTCTGTAAAGGAAAGAATCAATTTAGTACATTGTAGATTTTGCAATTCGTGTGTGAGCTATTGTGGAGCAATCGGTGGATTAATATATATATATATATATATATATATGTTATTCACTTAGCTTCACTTACCTTCATTTCATTATCACATATGAAGTGTATAGTTGAGGAGTAATTATGTGTCGCATTATAAGGTGTTGGGGATGGAAGGCGCATGAGCAAATACCCGTTTTCTAATATAGGATTAGGCTGTACGGTACCATAGTCCACAAACCTAAAAGTGGAGAAATATGTAGCATTACATGCATAGATATTTTATATAAATACAAGTAAACATGTACATTAGATAGATAGATAGATTAATGAGGTAATGCACCGCGACCTAGGGTCTATTGTGTCCTATATCACAGCAATACTCCTAGAACTATTCAGGCTGCTGGGGCTCAGGGAGGTCATGTGATATAGGAGAGGGGGATCATAATGAATCCGATTAATATTTATCACATATCTCTCATACAACCCCATAAACAGGATATATTAAATTGTTAGCAGCTAAATGGCCAGTTCTTTTCTACCCAACAAGCTGCTCATTTGTCAGAAGCGCCGATATCGGATCGGACAACTATATCATATAGCTGTCATACAAACTGAGCGATTAAAATCAAGTTCTAGTATAGAAAAAATGTTTATTTGACAAAATAGCTTCATGAAATTTGCCATATAAAATACTAACAAATTGTTGTTCTAACAAATTGTTCTGGTCAGACCACAATAGTATATAGCTGCCATTCAAACTGCACGATCAAAATCGAAATAATGATCCTCTTATACCCTTTTATGCTATAAGCAATGTGAATGTTATTAAAGCTCCGGTGCAATCGCAGTTAACGCTGCTTTCTTTTTTATTGTATTCAATTGATGCCTAGGTTCAGAACATAATTTAATCTCTGCGACTCTGACCATTATAATATGACCTAGAGATCGAAATTGGATTGAAACAAATCTCAAACTCAACAGCATTTCTACAACAAAATGTTTTGTTTTCTGCCGTTAAATCCACAACAAGCTATTCTGATCAAGCTTTGTCAACCTTCAAAAATAGAACTTACGGTACACTTGCTTTTTGATATCCTTGAACTATTAAAAACAAATATATATATTGACAAGCCAACAAAAAAATTTCCTTGCCTTCATGAATTAAAACTGCAATCATATGCCGACAATTTTTTTTTTAATTCCAAGAACCTACCTCCTACACTATTTAAAGCTACTCTCTGAACCTCAAAAAAGAGGAGTACTGAAGCTCAATTGAAGTAATTTGAAAATTTCTGCGCCAGCTCGCTACCCACATTGGCAACCTATGAATACGGATATACTTAACTTTTTTGATAGTCCATGTCAGTTAAAAGATTTATCCTCATACACTTTTGACATAAAAGTGACATTTAACAATAAGTGAACGAAAAATAAAAGATGAGAAAATTAATTTATGAAATGATTACCAACCGTTGTTTGTAGTCGGTGGAATTTAATTTTACTAAACACACACTACTCGCTTTGGGACACATTGCATTCTCGCTATATAGCACTGGCTTGCAAATGTTCACCGTAAATATATTGCCATGTCGATCGCTTGCTCTGTAATATTAATTATATTAGAAAGGAAATTTTCAAAATTATGTTCGTTAATTGTAACCTATAATTAAAGTCACTCAACGCAAGCAAATCATAATTGTGTCCAGTAACGGGGTCCTGCACACTGCAACCATTCGATTTAACTATCTCGGGTTCAGGCAAACAGGCATATGGTGTCTCTAACGATATATAGAATTTACACGCATTGGCAGACTACAAAAAATCACAAAATTATGCAATATAGGTCATCAAAGTTAATAGAAATAAAATATATATTTATTTGCAGTTCAGCTCACATATGATGTCACTTTCGATTGTTCAGCATCCAATGTGTAGTCACAGCCAAGGAACACAAACAATTTAAACTCGCCATCGCCGCTGGCACACTTGGCGCCATTACTAAATTCAAAGTACATTTTGCCACGGCGATAATTCAATTGGTGTTGAGTGCCTAAACAATATACATAAAATTTTTTAATTAATTTCACTGTGTCAAATGAAGCTGCTTACCGAGAACAAACTCCTGATTGCCTCTCCTAAGGCAAGCAGACGCATCCTTAACACCATTACATGCCCGGCCCAAACTGCCACAAATATTGTACTCGAATGTGTCGTCCCTGTCGCCCTTCACAACCTTTGCAATGTCGGAACGTAAGGCTTTGAGATTGAATTTTTCCCCATAAATAGGCTCTGTTAACTCGCAGTCATTAGTGGAAAAGATCTGAAACGGCAAAATTAGCATTTTTTTTCAGTCTTACATTTATAATAAAATACAAATTGAGTAAACCTGGGAATTGCCAGCTGAATGCGAACCATTATTTGTTAAGTACTTACTTTTTCATATTTATGCTACAAGCCAACAAAATACCTAAACTCATATCCTATCTTAACTATATTAATTTATTTAAACCACTTAACCCACTTCTATTTCCATGAATCAAAATCAAATACAAATATTTTTGTTTCGTTTTTTTGCGCAGAACTAACGTTCTTTATTTAAAAAAACAGTTTTTTGCCAAACTTCATTACATTTCATTTCATTTATTTGACAAACTCTATAATTGTTTTGTATTTCAGTATTTAGGTTTGTTGAGTTTAAAATAATAGTTCCTCATATTCGTTCATTTGCTGATATTACCCTCCTCATTTGCTGAATTATTAAGATCATTATTGGTTTCCGTAGATGTAGCTGCTGCGTTGGCAACATACAATGCTGGGTCGATGACTTTGGGGATAGGCTTAATTTCGGTTCCAAGTTCTTTTTCAATTCGATGCAGATCGAATCTATCCTCGTAGGTTATTAAATTGATTGCAATACCAAGGTGACCAAAACGTCCAGAACGGCCAATTCGATGCAAATAGGTTTCTGCCATTCTCGGAAAATCAAAATTAATAACAACATTTACAGCTTGCACGTCAATGCCTCTAGTAAAAAGATCCGAACATACGAGATTTCTGCACAAGCCTTGTCGGAAATCGTGAAACACACGATTTCTATGAGCCTGGGCCATTTTAGCATGTATATAATAACAACAATAACCAAGTTCCGTTATTTTCTTCGCCAGCAATTCGACACGTTGAGTGGAATTACAAAATATTATAGATTGATTAATTTGTAGCTTCGAAAAGAGCGTATTTAAGCAATGAACTTTTTGGCGTTCTTGAACGAATGCGTAATACTGCGTTACGCCTTTTAAGGTCAGCTCCTCCATCAAATTGATTTCATATGGTTCCCTCAAATGTTTCTCCATGAAATTTTTTACGCTTAACGGAAATGTTGCAGAGAACAATAGAATTTGAGGGTCTTTCGGCAATTTCATAATTACATGATCCAGCATGCCTTGGAAATCAAGAGACAGCAATTTATCGGCTTCATCTAACACTAGAATTTTGCAATGTGACATATCCGCAACTTTTTTGTCCATTAAATCCAAAATACGTCCGGGAGTGGCAATTATTAACTGTACTTTTTGGTATATGCGAAGTATGTCATCTTTAAGAATCGTACCTCCCGTTGTAACCATAACTCGAATGTCTAGATGTTTTGCGAGTTCAATGCATATTTGCGATGTTTGCAATGCTAGCTCTCGTGTTGGTACTATCACCAGGGCTTGTATATAATCTTTTCTTGGGTCTATCTGCTCCAAAACGGGAATGCAATACGCTCCGGTTTTACCAGTGCCGTTCTTTGCTCTAGCTAATACATCTTTACCGCTTAAAGCTATTGGTATTGCGGCCTCCTGAATTGGTGATGGACGTTCCCAGCCCTTTTCAAAAATACCCATTAATAGTTCTCTTTTCAAACAAAATTCTTCAAATTCATTTCCACGAGTATCGGTAACATCACTCGTCTTAAACCGGTTGTCTTTTGGCGGAATCTTAAGTTTTGATTTCCATCCCATGTCATCTTGCGGATTCTTGACCATTTGAAGCGCTTTCATCGCACTCTTTGACCCCAAATTTGCATGCATATTCGTCGTATTTTCTGTAATCATTTTTCTTCCAATTTAATGTAAAATTCTTTTTTCCGACAACGGTAAATGGTAACTGTTATAAAATATTACTTGATTCCAGATTTTCACCAAAGCCTTCAGAGAACAAAAACTAATACTATCCAAGCAGATAATAAAGAAATGCAAATTGTCTTGTCAAAAATGTAAAACGCATGCAGACAAACAATGTTGCCAGATTTAACTTCAAAATATCGTTAATCCTTTGGAAAAGCGCAGTTATAAAGAATTACAGTTAGCAAAAAAGACGATGACTATTAAATTTTCGCATTGTTGTATTTATGTGCAATGGAAAACACCGAAATCCGCTAAAGATGCCATATTTGTGTTAATTAGGTTAACATATTTTCAACAAGACAACGCCATTTTGAATCAAAACAAGAAGATACGTCACAAAGAACGAAGATAAACATGGAATAGAGCAAATTTACAATCGGTTAATAGATTAAGGGAAGAGGGACGAAACTGATTGCTTTGAATCAATACACTTTTTGTTGCTATATTTTTGCTGCCCACCGTTGCCACTCGCTCAATTTTTTTCAGTTTTGTTGTTTTTTCATTCCTTTCCCAAATAGCCGTATTCACAACTGCTATCTTGTAACACACAAACAAGGTTGTAGCCAAAATAAGGTATATTATATTGCAAATATATGAAGCCATAGCAAAGATTTCAAAGAATTTATATTATGGAATCTAGATTGTTTCTCCAATATTTTTATACAAAAACAAAGATTTTTTAATATGTAAAAATTTTAAGTATTGAATAAATATACATATATGTATGTATATAATTCTTTTTGAATATTATTTGTTTAAAAAAATTTGCTAAATTAGTTATATTTCTTGTTGTATGCATAAGATATTAATAGTTATAACGTCATCTTAAATAGTTAAAGAATATCAAATATTTCAAGTGCGAGTTGTAGTAATTATTTATTTATGTAGAACTTCGTGATGTTTTACTCCATATACAAATAAAAAGTGTTGTTATAGTTAGTTTTCAAATACTCCGTTTTTACTTATAAACCGAACCCGTGTCAAAACAATATTTAATTATTTTGTAGTCCAAAGATATTGCGCAAAAAATCAATGAAGGATAAAATGTATTATTCTCAAATAAAATTAATTATTTTATTATGGTTGAAGAACTTTTGGGCTGGATATAAAATCACATTAATTTTATAATTTTTTTTTTTTTAACCTAAACAAAAAAGTTAAAAATTTACATGACACAAATTAGAAAAAGAAAAAACATACATAGAGGATATATATGTAAGTGAATATGACAGTAACCAGAAACACACGGTTATTGAAACTATTTGTGTAAGAAAGCGGAGTACATAGGATCACACGCCTAGAAGAGTTTCGGTTAGAATTGTAAATTGGGCTTTAAATAAATTATGCAAACTTGAACAGAAGTAAAATTAAATCTCTGATAGCGCGGTTGGGTAATTAACCGGTGATTTAACCTCTAGGTGGTTTGCAGGGTATGCAGCCTTAACATCAGCCGCAATACTAGAGAATATGAGTTTACAAAAGGGTGTAGAATTTATAGCAACTATGAATTCGTATTATGGTAACCTTCCCTAGTGCATACACAGGTGGCATCATTTTAGAAAACAAAGCGGAGGAGATAAATGGCGAATTGACCAGAAAATAAATTTGCGAAACGATAAGAAAATGAGCAAAATAGTAAACATGAACAAAAACATCATTTGTTTTACGACAATAAATTGTTTAAAATACATAATCTAAACTTACCAGTGGGTCATTAGTATCAGCATAACCAATGTCTAACACTATCAAGATCGACACGCAAAATGTTATCACTTGCTTATTCATTGCAGTTTTGTTTATGATATCTGAAACTACTTTTGCTAAGATTATGAAATTCACTTTAGAATCTGCCGCGACGTCATAAGTATTTATGGATTTAATAACTTCGAAATGACACTTTCTGTTTATCGATTCTCCGGTTGCAAACTTGCTGGCGCCTCATAGACGAGATGTACACGCTTACGAATTAATTGTCAATAGAATCTACCAATTTCTTTCAACAACCTGCTATGTTTTGCGCTTTAGAACTTTTCAATGCTATGAATATATCTTTGTCTTATCACAGCTAATAGAAATTCAAGATAAGCTCTAATAAATCGTGCACCTGACGATTAACACTTTATTTCGTGCCAGTTAACCAATTTTATTTTTTACTCTTAATAATCAGCTGCTTCGGCATAACAAACAAATCCAATTGGAGTTAATGAAAATGCAATGCGATAGAGATGGCAAAACGAGCACATTTTCCGGTCTACTGCACTTTTTATGCAAATAATGTAATAAATAGTACAACACGCATGCACATATACATATGTGAGGATATGGAACCGTTATATTTGTATAGTATTATCCGCATACTCTGATATATAACATATATGTATTGGATGGTAATCAGACTTTGTAAACTTTCTGGAAATAGAAAATTTTATTGAAAATTGATTTCGACTATTGCATGTGAACGCATTTTCGTTAGCACGGCAACCCTGTATGTTAAGCCGAAACAGCTGTTGCTTGGCGCATTCATAGAGAAATTTACATTATTTCGTACTTATAGCTAATGTTATATTTATTTGCATTCATTTTGTAAAGTGTGTTTTATTTACATTGTAATTTTACAACGACATGACTGCAAATCCAAATGAGATGGAAATGTTGCGCAAAGCAATAAGATTACTACACTCGCCGCATCCAAATTCTGCGGTTGAGCTAAGGTTAATGCTAGATGAAGCTATAAAACAACGTTACGGCCCGGAGCTTATGATCTCGAATAATATGAGCAAAAGTCTAATGGAATTGGAAGCTAACTTTCCAGGTCGCGCCGCTACACCGCCACCTCCTCCAGAGCATCCAACAACAATGGATCAGGACCCCACTGTAGATGAAGTTATTAATTTAACTGGTTCTCCTGCGAAGACCATATCCGATTCCCCAGATACTATAATTGACTCTGATGATGGCGCTAATATCGGAGGAGCAATGCTTGGAGGCGGCGATGAGGATGTTAATCTGAAGGAGTTTGGCGATTTAAATTGTGCTGTTTGTGGTGAAATGGTTTTCACTGCTACGAACCGCTTAATCGAATGTTCAAATTGTGGTACACTTTACCACCAAGAATGCCACAAACCACCTATCACAGATGAAGAAGCCTCCGAAGGTCAAGAGCACAATTGGCAATGTGATAATTGTCTTAATAAGCCTTCTACTAGCAAGGCAGCGGGGGTTGTTATTGAAGAACCAATCTCATTAATATCGAAGACAAAGTCATCAGCTACATCTTCCCGTTCTTCATCGACGTCAAACTCGTCCTCTCCTTTTGCAATCGTACAGGCAGAAACACCAAGTACATCCACATCAGCTGTTCCATCTGTACAAGTGCCGACAATGTCTACAAGTAGGCATCATCATCACAAAAGCTCCCGGTCTCATAAGGAAGAGCGACCTTCGTCTAGTAGTTCAAAAACGGTTACATCAAGCAGTGCCGTTAATCCAACTTTCAATGTCGTCAGTGCAAGTGAGAAGAGTTCTTCACATTCGTCAAAGAAGTCATCGTCGCACTCTTCTTCATCCAGTAAATCATCGTCATCGAAATCGTCCTCAAAACACCATGACAGTAATAAGCGTAAAGCAAAGTAAACTTTTAAAAATATAATTACATATCCGTTTCATATTATTTCATATAACAGCATAAGTAAATGAAGTATTTTTGTAAAAATGAATTTGTTAACTATAACAATTCATTAAGTGGAATTACCTTTTTGAATAGGAAACCTTGAAATAAAAAGTGAAAAAATAAATTAATTAAATAAAATATATACAAAATGAAAATAGATTAATGGTTGTTTCTGAAGATAAAACATTTGGGTTCGTTCCGCTAACGTAAACCCGACTCGTGGGAACGAATAGTTCAGCGGCTAAATGAATTGTATAGACAGTAATTTCTCACAAAAACTTTATTCAGCGTACAGATCAACGAATTTTATGTATTGTATCCCTTGCCAGGAGAGATACGTCAAAGCGCATCTTATTCAATGGAGGGAACAATTATGAATTTTTAACAAATGAGCAATATTATAAGAAACAATTACATAAATGTACATATAATTTATAAAAAAAAGAATGTATAGGTCTTCTAGTAATACAAATGAAACATTAAATAAGCAACACGAATTTTTTATGAAACCACACGTCTAGTTTTTTTAACAGTAACAGCTGGAGTGGGTGGACTGCCGCACGCATCATCACTGGGCAGTTTCCGAACTTTCACGCGTGTAACTGGTGTATTCCTTTTATCCCCAGGTGTCTCTTCATTGGAGTGCATTGATTTAGCACTATTTTTGGCACCACTATCACTGTTGGTACTAGCCGCTGCGGCTTTCTTTTTACGTTTTACATTAACAACAACATTGGCGTCCATACTGACATCTAATTCAAAATTAAATTCATAAGTTTTACCGGTACGTAGTACTGGCGTTGTGTTGTCATTAACAACAGTCTTGCCATGTCGCGAAGTGGATAAAGAAATCGCTGGACTGAAATTTATATTCGCTCTTGTAGCAATAGGAGTAGAACGTGTAGCGTGCGAAGTGGAAGTACTTGGCGTACTAGAACTTATACCATTGGCTGCATCACGAGGAGTGGTTCGCAATTTCTTTTGCAAAGGTGAATGCCGTGTTGCCTTTCTGGGCGAGAAAGACGTCGATCGACGCTTTCGAGCTGGACTAACTTTTGGTGTCAACTTATTAAAAGTTTTCAGTTCAGGCGAACCGCGCAAAGTTGGTGTAGCTTTGCGAGGAGATGATTTTATGAGCCTTGAAGAACTGTCAATAGCTTTCGGCGAACGTTTTGTCACAGTTTTCAGTTGCTTTTGCGGTGCTTTCTTAACCGGTTTCTTTTCTTCAAATATTACATCATCATCATCGTCGTCGCTGGCAAACATTTCCACAGATGTGTCCATGGCCGCTGCTCGCTTTCCTAACAATTTTCCACGACCTTTGCTTGTTGAAGGTGCAGACTTGTTATTATTGTCACTTATCGTAAAACGTAGATCTCCAGTATTTGCCATTTTCATTGTTTTTAGAGCAGTGCTAAATATTTTACGGCATTTTTCATAATCAGGTTTTTCATTATACTCCAGTTTTGCTACATACTTCATATACTCGGCAATAGGACCTGGAAGAATGTGTCAAAGTATTATATTTGAATGTATTTTCTGAAATATTGTACTGACCTGGGACATCTTTAGAATATAAGGCTTTTAAACAATGCGTTACGTCTGCCATGAATTCTTCTTTTGCCTTTTGAACTTTCACTGGTACCGTTAGAATATTATCCTTTACCCATGGCAATTGAATGCCGGACCATTCTATGATATTATAACCTAATATTTCGAAGTCTGAACGCATTGTAGCTACACCGAGATGTGCGTCCCGAGAAGTATATTCTATAGTACCGTTGTGCATTTTTTTGGGATCAGGTTTGAATTCCTTCGTCGTATAATGTGAGGCTAAGCCATAGTCAACTAAGTATGCTTGACTATTGCCTTCTTTGCCATATCCTAAGAGTATATTAGCTGCTTTTAAGTCTGCGTGCACGTAACCACAGGAGTGTATAAACTCATACACATCCAACATTTGTAACGCCAGTCTGTATATGGTTTCTTCGGGAAAACGTCGTCCATTTGCTAATAAGTGTTTTGAAATATCGCTGCCATATCGTGGCATTACAATAAAGCGATGTTTGGTGCCTTTTAGTTCAACTGAACCATTACCAATCATATATGGCATACCAATTGTCTTAAGACCACGCTCACGCTGAAATCTCTTAATATCTTCCAATTTGGCGTTACGCATATAGAAATGCATTTCAACAAACAGTGGACCATTCCCATGTGGCTCCTAAAAAGCGACAGTGCCATATTAATAGTTCGCCATTAATCATACTTCAATGGAATACTTACGCACTTTACAACGTAGTTATAAGTTTTCTCACCAACGCGAGAAGCTGAATAAATTTCTCCAAACCCACCAGTTCCAATGGAAGATCCAATTAACCACTGTGTTTTGGATAAATCGGTGAGAATTGTGCCTTCAGCTATCTTTTCTGGCATAGCATATAATTTATTTCGCTTAGGGGCAGCTGCTTTTTTGGGAACACCACCTCCGGCGGCACCATCTGCTGCAACCTTTGTTTTAGTTGCTCGAGGCATATTTTTCTAAACCAAAACTTCAAATATATTCTAAATGTTCTCGTATTCTTTCAAAATGCGAAACTAAAGGCGCCAATTTGTTAAACGATTGTGTTCTTGCACTGTTTGCCTACTTTGTACCAAACCGTTGAATTTCATTGAATTCTATTTTGTTCTTGTTCTTCTTATTTTGTGAGTTGCTTTTGTCAAATTGAATGGTGATGCCATGTTATAAATTGAAATGATTGTTACTCAAAACAAATAGGGTTTTATTCCATAAAAAATATTTTATTTTTATTGTGGAATATTATATAGAAGGTATATGGGTTTTTAATTTAATTACACAATCACTGATTCTTAAGTGGACATATATACAGGTTTTCACATATACCGAAATAGTCTTGTTTGTGTTCAATTCTCACGATAGACGGTACTCGTTGTCAGTATTAACTGGATTTTATTCAACCAAGGACTATTAACCCCGTTTGGATCGGTGAGTTTCATCCTCAATATTCATTACTTTAAACTTATAGCATTAAGAAAGAATCGGCATTAATCGTTTAAGTCCTCCCCGATGTAAACTTTGTTTATATTCTTAATTAAATGAAATTCTACGCATGCATATTATAAAGACAGTTCATCAATCGCTAGTCCGTAATTTTTTATAATTTCCAATATTTGTTGTGAAATGCAACCATGCTGTTGGATGTGTTCGTTTTGCGCCACGAAGTATTTTGCTTTGTGCGAACGCGTCATTCGTGAAAAAAACTTGGTGGTGTTCGGACTTGACGTTGCTGTGTCGAAAGTAATAAGTTGTCGTGCAAGGAAAATTTATGAAAAATTACAAATCGAGTGTTAAATCCATTCCAAGGGTGTTATAGAAATTATTTGGCATTTTCGTTTTACTTGTGAAAAGATTTAGAATATAAAAAATGGTAAATAATGTGAATAGAAAAAATACAACTATTACAATGCAATGAAAAGCTGGCGTTGGCCAATGGACGACGTAAATGTGAGTGCGCGTGCAGTAATGTACTGTGGGACATCGTGAAATATTGAGTTGATAAGTAAAATACGAAATATTAAATTTTGTAAATTTGTGTTGTAAACAAATTAAATATATGATATAAATTTAAGATCTTGTCGGACAATTTCGTATTCTCCATTTAAATGTTCGTGTTTAACCTCACATTGGCCAGCGTTTTCCGGCGATTTTGGCGCAATTTTCATTTTTGAAAACGTAAAATTATAACATCCATTTTTATAATTTATTTAAGGCTGGTGGAAAAGCAGGTAAAGATTCAGGCAAAGCTAAGGCGAAGGCAGTATCTCGATCAGCACGAGCGGGGCTTCAGGTACGTGTTAAATAAAATACAGACTTTGTTCCCCTAGACTAAATTTTCGCGCCTTTTTTTAAAGTAGCATATAGAGACTAATTAAATAGTTCACCCTCATTGTAGATTAAAAGTATATGCTTATATATAATTTTCCATTACAGTTCCCAGTTGGTCGCATACATCGTCATTTAAAGAGCCGCACAACATCGCATGGCCGCGTTGGTGCAACGGCCGCCGTATATTCTGCTGCAATTCTGGAATACTTGACTGCTGAGGTAAGTTACATATTTTACGATGGAAAATTCACCCATAGAAATCGATTCGTTATCGCGCCTAATTTTCCTATATCGCTGCTTAAATGTACCCATTCAGCGTAGTTTGTGCGCGCGTAGAAAAAGCAAACATTTTCAGATGTGTATGAATTTGTGTGTGCTGTACTCCGCGCGCAGTTTGTAATGTCAACTTGAAGTGGCGTTTTTTAGTGTTTTGTTTTGTGGCGTCATTTGCCCGCCATTTTTGTTTTTTGTTTGTCTGTTTAGTAAATATTATTGAACGACTAAAATGGAAACACAACTAAAATGAATTATACGAATTTTTGTATCTTAATAGATTTATGTGTATATTAAGTATTACTACATGATTCGTTGTATATTATCTTGATAGATGTCTACATTAAAAAAAAAAATATTTATCGCTTGCATCGTATTTGTTTATTTTTTGGGTTTAATTCAACCCAATTTTTAATTGTTTACTATTTTTAGGTGCTGGAATTGGCAGGAAATGCTTCAAAGGATCTTAAAGTCAAACGTATCACGCCGCGTCACTTGCAGTTGGCAATTCGTGGTGACGAAGAATTAGATAGTCTGATTAAAGCAACAATTGCAGGAGGTGGTGTTATTCCACATATTCATAAATCGTTGATTGGCAAAAAGGTAAATTCAAATAAAGTAACTTAATTTTGTGTTTGTATGCTAATTTATTCAAATTTATTTAACAGGAGGACAATGTTCAGGACCCACAGAGAAAGAATACTGTAATTCTTTCCCAAGGGTATTAATTCTTATTTTATAATAAAATTTCTTTTTAACAACTTATGATAATTTTCGTATTGTTATACAAGTAATATTAATTATCATATAATTTTTCTTAAATGGAAAGCCTAACTTTAAACAAATATTTTACACGCAAAATAAGAAATTGATGAAAGCATAAAATAAATAAATAAAATGTAAAATTGTCGAAATTTAGAGAAGACCAAATACATAGTTTAATCAATAACAAAACAAACGGATTTCATGGCATGCAGAATAATTTAGACTAATTTCATGGTAAATATTAAAATTGTACGTTAGGATAGCTGCACATTTTACCCAAATAGTAGCTTCTCGACTGGAGTGTATTCGCCTCCACCTCAGCTGCGGATGACGGCAAACATTTCGGTTGCATAAGGTTTACGGTTACTACCAGGATTGAAAATAGAGCCTGAAAATCCGGAGCACATTCTTCACAGAAGCAAGCCTTAGTGAGTCTCATATCGTAGCATGAAGCGAATCGATTCACTAGCTTCAGCACGTTCTTTGGATTGATGCTCTGACTTTGTGACTAGGTAGCAGTGCATACTTGAATAACTTTCAAGCTTCGTTAAGATCATTATTGTCGATGTTAAGGATCAAGTTGATAATACTGCTTAGTATATGTAAGAATCCAAACTGTTATAAAGTGTTGGAGAGCTTTTATTATCGAGAGAGTGGGGGTGATCAGAATCGACAATAGAAGGACGTGGACGGTGTCTATTTTTATAAAACCGAACCAGATTAGAGGTTTAATTACAGTTGCGAGCATTATTTAATACATATTTTCTAATGTTAATCTATTAGTAAAATCTTAAATGTTCCAGCCAGTCGAAGATAATTAAATTGGTAAGCAATCATCTAGTAAAATTCAGCATTGGAAATCTTTACCGTTCCAAACGTAGTTAGATCTCCATTGTATTGTATATCCGTACTCTTTCGAGGCAAAAACTCTAAATTGAGAAAAATTAAACAGGGGGTTCCGCAGGGTGGTATCTTCTTCCCGTTGCTGCTTAACATTTTGGAACTCGCTAAACCACCAGAGAGAATATCTATAACTTCGTACTTTGATGATTGCACGATAATGACGTCGGGCAATGGAAGCATATGGCATTTGCTCTAACGTAAACGGCTATCTCCCCGACCTTTCTCGTTTCCTCGCTGCACGGAACCTAACACTGTCTCCCACTAAATACACAGTGAATATTCACTAACTGGACGAAGGAGTACAAACTTTTGACCTTGATATTGCAGTCATGGCGTTAAAATTCCGGCTGTCAATAACCATAAGATGCAGAAGTGTCAGAATACTGTACTCCCGACTTCAACAGGTTGCCTCTTGAACTTTCCATCCTAACTAGGACTAGACTAGCCGTACATCAACAACAACATTCACCATTATATATGTATACTACTGTATAGTATGCAGATATATGAATAAATATCTAATCCCTGCCGTTATCATATACATATACTTTTCCTTTGTAAACAAAATTAAAAAGGATGTAACTAATCACTTACCTATTGGCTCCACCGTCAACAAAATTATTTTTAAGTTTTCTCACGATTTTATTCCAGTTAGTGTTTTTTTTTTCTTTTAATATAGATTCAAAAACAGAATCCACATTAAACTAATTAAAGGGTGTAACCAGACAAACGGGGTCCACATGTGTGATGAGTGTACTCTTAAAATTTTAAAACATTTTATAGAACCATTTTTAAGAAGTCGTGGACGTAAATTTAAAAAAGTAGTTTCGAGAAAAATACGTTGGAAAATCAAGGTGAACTCTATGGAACTTACTTTCTCACTTCTGTAACTCAATTTCGGAAAATTACTTCACCACCGCATTCCATGAGTACTCTAGATGTATGCAAGAAAAAATATAGATTTTTTAAGCCCGCTTTAATTTTTTATTTTAACGGATAATCCAGGTATAGCTATCTTTTTAATAGCATATTTTTTACAGATCACGTGAGTCGTGTCAAGCTGTCACGTTATTATTATTCAGTATTGTTTGACATTTCATAATGGAACTACGCCTGAACAACGTTTACAAATTGTTTAACTTTATTACGATAATTAACGACGCTTCGCTCAAATTATGATCAACACAATCGACCTACTGGACCGTGGAGAGTCGATTCGGCGCCGTTCGCAGCAACTTGGACTGACGTATGGGTCGAGTTGGCGCATTGTACGACGAAACCTTAAATTGAAAGCGTACAAAGTACAGCTTATGCTAGAAGAACTAAAGCCGCTCGACATTTCCAAGTGCCAAGGCTTAGTTCTATGGGCTCTTGAAAAGTGCCAAGAAGATCCGACGTTTTTGAACCAAATTTTATTCAGCGATGAGGCCCATTGCTGTCTCAAGCAAAATTGCCGCATTTGCGACAAAGAGCAACGTGAACAGATTCAAGAGCTGCACTTTCATCCAGAAATTGAAGCTCGTGATCTCGCCGACACTTCAACAAGATGGCGCCACTTCCCACATATGGCACCAATTAATGGATTTATTGTGATATCACATCTTTAGAGTTTTTCTTGTAGGGAAGTCCAAGATCTATACGAACAATACCACTTCGATTTAGGTCTTGGAGTAAATATCACGCTTGTCAGTTGTCAGTTACCAGTTACCGAACGAGTAATCGGAATTTAGGCTCAATGTATGATCCATCATAGAAAATCTTCAAAAAATAAATGCCAAAGAATCTTCTTTTGAATGATAATAAACCTTCCCCATCAAATTTAAAGGTTCTGTGTTTTTCTTTTTTTTAGGAGGAATCACCCTCTATTATAGGCCGTATACTTACATAGTTTTATGTGTAAGATGTGAGATGCGTTAACCAGAGGATCGAAATTCTTTATGTTAGGGATATTGAACCTAGGTTTGGACAAATTCCAATCGTATTCAGCGCTAAACCACAAAATTCTTAATATAGCTTTTCGACTTAACTAGAATAAAGTATTTTTGGTTGAGTTTATCTCATTTCAGTTAATTCAATTCGGGTAATTAGGGAGAATTTCACTCTTTGACATTTGAGAGGACATGTCTGTCCTTAAGTAAGAGATCTTAAGGAACTGGGACCAGCTAACTGATTACTAAAAATTACATCTTTATTTACCCAACATATTGGCTTCGGCTGGAGCACCTATATATGTATGTACACTTGTAAAACATTTAAAATTTTTTTTATTATTTTAAACTAAAATCTCATAATGCAGATATTTAAGCAAGAACTGGAAGATTTTATACACTAAATATTATAGACACGTAATTTATACATATGTACTTTATAGATAGTCTGCATAAAATAGAAGGTTAAAAAATGGTTGCTGGAAATTTTGCGAATCCAACGAAATTTAGCCAAGCAATTGCGGAGTGCTTCTGTGAATGTCGTCACAACGCTCATTCAAATCGGTCTGCAATGAAAAAAATATATAATTAGCGATTGATTGGCAGTATTCATTGGCCATCACTTTGATATTTACCTCATCTAATTCCAAGCAAGCGCCCCATTCTATCAAAGTGATGCGATGATCTTTATTGGAGTCACATGACTCCAAGAATGGCGCAATGCATTGCTCCAGGCTAACCAATGGTGCACGGATGGGGAAGAGCTCGTGACGCGATACCGAACGGTCAGTATCACCATCTAAATCACACCATTTCCAAACGGCAGCGTTGGCCCAACGACGAGTCATATTCGTCTCGGCTTCTAATTCCATTTGCATGTAATGTTCGGTGAGTTCGTCACGTTCGGCCAAATCGCGCATCACGTTGAAAAGCCAATCGCGCATGCGACGCGGGAAGTCCTTCATGTCCTCCTCCGAGCAAGTTTTGTGTTCATGACAGGGACCGTAGTAGTCGATGTGAACGTGACTATTTTCGGGGTTCAGGCAGCCAGGGGCATTGGTGGCGCAAAGACATCTCTGCCGATAGACAGCGCAATCCGAGAGCCAGGTTTCGTTACGATTGGTGCAAACGTGACGACGTGCTTCCGGTTCCTCTGGACACTCGGGTATGCATACACATTTGGCTTCAGTGCCATGCACTTGGCACACACGACCGGCACCGCAATGCATCTTTTCACATGGATCAACTAGATTAAAAGTAAGTATGTATGTAAATACGAACTCCCTTAAATCAAAAACAAATATAGGCAGTGCAGTAACATACTTTCAACGACCGGATTCAATATACTATTCTGTTGATCTTTGGCCTCAGCAGCTAGTTGAGCAGCGATCTCGTTTTCACGTTCCAAGTCCTTGTGCTAAAATCAAAAACATGACTTTGGGTTGAGTGGTAAACTTCTTTTTACTTCATCGTATTTACCGAATTCTTCTGTTCGAACTGGCGCAACAACTCCTCTGCACTCTCGTCGAAGTCTTCCTCGATCAAATCATCCAAATTGAATTCGTCTAAATCATCGGCGAATACTTGCATCGTGCAGAGCAAGCCTGCCAAAAGCAGTAGTGGCAACTTCATGGTTGCGTAAGCTGAGTCTGCGTCTCGCCACAACTGAAACAAAAAACTACAAAATGTGAACCTTCTCGTTGCGCTGCTGAACTTAGTTTACTCGAAAAATTCGTCTAAAATGCTGTGAGAGTCGGTTTGAATTGCGACAGCGCTGGAAACAAGGCGAGCAGATAAGCTAAGTTTGTAAAAACAACAACAATTACACAGGCGTTTTAAAGGTTTCGTGCGTTTGTTGTTATGTTGGAGGATGACCTCGTCCAGCGATTGTGACTTTTTTCTTCAATTCTTTTCTAGCGCTATCAGTTTTCCGAGCTGTTTTAATTTATATTTTTAGTAAGCTTAGACATAAGTCGCMAAATGGGCTTTATTGACAATTTTATATACAAATAGTGATATGAGTTATCAAAAACAATGGAATAATAATTAAATTCGAGCCTTGAATAAAAAAGTGGGAGGAATGTGGCGTCATGCCGAACGCTTGCTTTCATTTTTTGCCTATTTTACAAGAAGTCTGAATACTAGTATTGTATATACCATACATTGCTCTAATTATACCCTCAACCAGGTGTATTATGTTTGACACGAGGTTGGTAACACTCACAAGGCGAAATCGGAGACTCTACGAAGTATATATAAGATGATGAGCGTGACGAGCTGAATTGGTGCTGTCTCTTATACACATCTAGATGTGTATAAGAGACAGCAAGGCGAAATCGGAGACTCTACGAAGTATATATAAGATGATGAGCGTGACGAGCTGAATTGGTGTGGTCATGTGCGATTGTCCGTATATACGCAAAGTAGTTCCAATATGTTTGATATATCGGTCTTTTCTATCTAAGAAGCTGCGTATTTTTCGGAACCGCACCGTAACATACCATACAAACTGWTAGATCAATCTTCMMGAAATTCGGCATGGATTATTGTCCACAGCACTYACTCGGTTACAGTCAAACTTACAACAGTTGGTTCCAASATAGACGAAATTATCTACGAWTCRAAGCAGCACTATATTAACCGAGTAACTTGTTCAGATCGAATCACTATAACCCATAGCTGTCATACAARCTGATCACTCAAAACCCAGTCCTTGTWTGGAAAACTTTTTTTATTCGACTGTTTTATCTCCATGAAATATGGTACTCAATTTTATTTAAGGCTACAGTACAATCTTCTAAGAAATTCCTCAGATCCGATAGCTATTACCCAAAGCTGTCATAGAAACCCTTCCGATCAAAATCAAATTATTGTGTGGAAAGCTTTCTAACTTGACGAGTTATCTTCCTGACTAGGAGACTTAGGAATAAATTATTTTCCAAGGCTGCGATACGAGTATTGTCCGGTTAGGCTGTTCGGATTAGATATGGATATCTAAACAAAATCAGTGTTCTGTAAAAAATATATGTACCTTTGAAGGCTATCAAAGCTTCGGTGCAACTGCACATTTTTTCTTGTTTTAAGTTGGCTTGACTGAGGCTCTACAAAATTTTAAATGTCAGCCTCGTCTGTTGAAAACAGACTTGAAACTTTTAACTTCGGAACAGAAGATTTAATCAATGTTATACTCTTACGAAGATGGTGACTTTCTAACTAAGGTGCTTGAAACTAGTTAAGGATGCTACTAAATCCTATATAAGGACTTGGAGCAATGTCAAGCTCTTTCAGACGTTGATAACTTAAAGGCTAGCATTATCAGCTTTGACTATATGGATCTGTGTACATACGTAATACAGTGATTCTATTTTGCAATGTTAATAAATTTACACAGACAATTGATTAAAATAGTAATAGTATTTAAAATGTAAGCTGGTGTAAAAATAAAAACACGCAAAGCTATTCTTCTTCAATCAGCGAATGCGGACTTATCGGCTCGACTTATCACCAACTTCCGTTTGTGTTTTAAAGCGCCGCATATTCGTAATTATGTCAAGACAAACCAGCAAGCGCATGAGTGTGAATAAATAAACCAATGTATAAAGCTTATATACAAAGAATAACACTGACTACATGATCCCACTTTTCAACTGTGAAAGAAGATTCAAAGTAAGGATAGAAAAATATGATTGGCGGCGTGTTAGCTGTGTGCAACACTCTAAATATTTGAAAGAATGGCACGAAAATACACGATGGAGTTGGTATATTGTCCAGTATTAGACACAAGGCAATCTAAAAATAGCCAGATCACTGCAGTATATTTCATGCTGAGGTCTCGCAAAGGACCGCAGACTAATCTAACCTTTATCCAAACTCTCACGCGCAAAAATACGACCTAAAGGCGTTTGAATCGAATATATGTATGTTGTATATGTATGAGTGCTCTATTATTTTTCAGTTACTTCTATGAATATTGCAATTTAAATTCAAATTCTTAGCTTGATTTCATAAACCATAAGGCTAAAAAGAAAATTTCATCAGTAATTATTTGAGCTTTTCCAGCGGGAAATTTGAAATTTACCACGTGGCCCCAACTTCATCTTGTAACTGGTTACATGTACCTACACACATGCATAGGAATATTTATGTAGCTGTGAGCGCTCAATATAACCTAATAGTGTTTCCGGTTTACCAACTGACTTCTGCGTTGAATATGAAATCTTGCAACATACTATACTATATGTATGTATATATGCATATTATAGACCGAAACGACTTCATCCTTTACTTTTCTCTTTGCAGTCGAAATGATTACATTTGCTTACTGAATTAATTCAAAGCGATCGATACTGCAGACGGTACATTTTATGTGTTTGTATTTCATACACATACACAATTATGGGCTCACAAGTGTATACAAACATATGTATATGTGTTCCAGCGAAATATACAGATGTGTATGTATGTTCATGAAACAGCGTTGGTTTGCGCTCTTTTCATGATTTTTGATTTGTCTATGTGCGGTTTTTTACAGTTTCTCTGTTTTCATGCAGCTTTAATTGATATAATTCGCCTACGACGCTCACATGGACTACATGTGCTGGCACTTATGAAATATGTTTGTACATCAGATATTTCATATATGTATACTGCCATATATACTTTGCAGGCAAAAATATTAATATTATAACAACAAATCGCTCACATATTGAATTATTGGCCTTGATATCTGTGGTTGTGTGTGTGCGAACGTGCCAATTTCTTTCGATTTTATACGGATATACATATATTTAGGTTTATGGACCAACAATAACATCCAAGCTTTAGAGAATAAATAAATGTCAAAGTAATGAAAATGCTTTGTAGTTTTAAATTTTTATGTACAAATATATATATGTGACCTGGTCTACGGAAATAGGGCTTAGGTGTCAAAAAATCAATTTTAACTTTTTAGTTGATTCGGATGGAAGATGAGATGTTTTTTCACATGATAGAATCCAAAAAAAATTCTCCTCCTTTACTTCAACAACAGACAGGTCAATCTTAACCTATTTCCCTATGAAAGCCTAGTTCCCTCTCCATATAACGGTACGGTTCAAAACTACTAAAAGCGCGATAAATCAGTAACTAAATGGACCAGAGATGTAAAAGTTTGTCGCCGGAATGGTGTGGCAAGACTTTTTGGGGCCCGGGTAAAAATTTGGCGATGGGTGTGCCATCCACTTTTTGTTGTTTGCATTGCATTGTTTTCATATTCCTATGTCACGTTGCGAAAATGAGCGAAATCGTACAATAACCATGCTCACTTTAGCATAATTTTAAGTTCCACTTCATTGGTTCAGTTTCCAGTACACAAATCAAGAAGCAAATAACATAACACGATGAAACTTTGCACGAATAATGTTTTTAGTGTGTGCCACCTTACGAAATTTGTCAAATCCAACTTAAACTGTACAAGCTCCTTATAGGAATATGTGGACCCCTGTACCTATAGTTGACTTTTGTTCGAAAATATCGAAACTTGTGCGCTCGAGGCTAGCTAGGCTAAGTGCGCCGTTTTTAAACGCGTTTTTGTCGAAACTTTGTTTTTGAAGTCGTTTGGCAAGATTTCTCGAGAACTACTCAACCGATCTTCATGACATTTTACACAGTTCTTTGAGATACAATTCTAAAAGACTTAGACGACGGATTTTTTTCGATTACAGCTATTTAATAAAAAAAATGTCACGTAATTTTCACTGAAATTTTAATTTTTTTGTTAAAATGTCCGCCATATTTTGAGTTTTCAGTTTTTTTCCTTCGTCCAAGTTCTAAGTTAAGGTTTTAACTAAAACACTTTAGATGATCCTGTAAGGAGTTATCCTGCAAACGAGGGCACCTTATTTTTTGAGGGGTCACCGGAAATGGCGTCGAAGTGGCCGAGCTAAAAATATTTTTTTTCCAAAAATTTCAAAACTTGAGAAGCAATAGTGTATGTTTGTAACAATTAAAAATTCTAATACAATATTTTATTTTTTATATAATATAAGAAACAAATTTAAAAAAAAATACTGTTTTTTACTCGAAGATATCCATCTATCAGTTTTTGAATTGGTTAGTTTTTAGAGTGTATTTTTAATTTTTAAAATTGTTCTCTATTTGTTTTTGTTTTTACAGTACATTTTGTCCACATTGTTGAAATACGCAACAACATGTCTTCTTGGTTCTAATTTCTTGTAGTGAAATACAATCCTTTTTGAACGATGATTTCATTACAATGCAATGCATTGTCGGTCGGGCTTGCATATAAAACAATTTATGCGCTGATGACCACATAAGTAACTGATGCCTACGTAAAGAAAATTAAGCATATGCAAATACTTGTATGCATATACAGTGAAACCCCGCTATATGAATAATGTAGAGTAAAAAAAAATGTTTACAGAGTTTAATATTTACTTATACATATATATGTACATGTTTTGTTTTACTCTCCCCTCGGATAATTTTTTTTGTTTTTCAAGTTACTTTTTAGAATATTATTTTCATTTTCCATTATATCGTTATTCCAGTGCACTTCATGTACATCTGGCAGTTTCAGAAAAAATAAAGCGCGCGAATGCAGAATCTGCATCACCCCGTGCAGCTCACTGCACAACGGTATTTTAATCTCATTTCACACAAACGCATACACAAAAAAAAAAACAAAAAAATAATAAAAATGATAGCGCCAATAATCAAAAAGGATGTTCTAGTTAAAACAATTGCAAACTCTCCATGATTTATGTATGTAGTACATATCTACATGCACATCTAATTATTTCATTTACTTACATGACTGCTAAAAATAAATTGCCGACAAAGAAACGCAATAAAAGTGCAATGAAATAAAGCCTCTGTTTTTTTAAGATTTTAAATTGTTAGTTTCTTTCAACAAAACGATCTAAACACCTCGAGCACCAGCAGACAACTGACTTACTGATCGTACAATGAAAATAATCTGTACCACACATGAGTATGTATGTAGCTATGCAGACACATATGTGTGCCACCAAGCTGAAAGTGCCTCCGACTGTTCGTATACACAAATTTCAGGCACAGTTGTGGAATTATAGGAAATAAACAATAGAATTTTCCTCACTGCAAACGTTTCGCGCTTTAAAGTGTGAGTGTATACAACCGTTATATACGGAGATGCTGTCCAAGATTGCACTTGCTATGAGCTCAAAGCATCTCCTCTCCTCAGTGTATGTATGTGGCACCGCAAATTTTCTATAAAACTAAAAATGCCAGCAAAGCACAAATGGCTGAATGAATAGTTTTTAACTAATTACTGATGAGAGAAATGGAAATCCGGTCGGCCATTCTTTTTACGGAATGAATAAGGTATAATAAGTTTGCTACGAAGCTTGGAAACGTCGGAGATTCCATAAAATTTGTATAGAAATGATCAGCATGATGGCAATTCCCACAACAACCGGTTCTATGATACTGGAATAAACTCCTGCCAAGGGCTGTTATTTCAAGGATCAAACCTTGTTTGAATCGGTATTAACATATTACTAATAGTACGATCTGAGTTGAGTTAGTCATGGCGTCTGTATATGAGCGAAGCAGTACTTTAGTTTGTGAGATATCATTCTGAAAATTTGCGCACATTTCTCCCCAAGAATCTGTTAATATTGGCGGAATTGTCCGATATCGGACCACTACAGCATACATATGTACATATATCAAATTAAACGACCAAAATACAACCAAAGCGAGTCCTATCATCCAATAACTCTCCTCTCACAGTACCACCACAGCTCGTAAATGCCTAGATAGCTCGTCAACTAAAAACCACTCTACAAGAAGACCATTCTCATATCGCTGGACTTGTCAAAAGCCTTTCACATAGTCAACCACACAACGCTACTTGAAAACATTGAAAAATCTACGCTGAAGAGGTGGACTATGAATTATTTGAACGGTCGGCAATCATCTGTAATGTTCCGAGGTAAAAACTATAAATTAAGAAGAATTAAACTGGGGGTTCCGAAGGGTGGTGCTAGATAACTGTCACAACAACAACAACAACAACAGCCAAAATACAGTCTTGTAGGAAAAACATTTTTATTTGGTTAGATATTTTCACGAATTTGCCACGGATTATTGCCCTATGCAAAGCTACAATCTTAAACAAAATTGTTCAGATCGCAATAATATAGCTTATAGCTGTCACACAAACTGAACGATTAAAATAAAGTTCTTTGTATTTGTTGAGGTTATTATATGTACATACATATGTATGTATGTAGTAGCTTCCGTGTTGCCAAAGTTATCTTTTTTCTGTTTATTTTTTAGTACAATCTTCCACGCTTTTAAAATGTAAAAAATATTAGATATTTTTTTGAGTACTTTTATTTCATTATTGAATACATGTGTACATTTTTATATCATGAATTGATGAAATGCTGGACAAAACTTACCCCAGTGTAAGCGCAGTAGCTTTCGGATAATACAGAAGCTAACCTAATAAAGTGTAGCTTCCATTTCTTGCATTTCTAGCGTGTTATTCAGCACATCGTCGACTTCTTGACTAGGTGGTGCTGAGGTGAAGCTTATGCAGTCGCCTCTCGATCCATAAAATGAGATAAAATAGTTATAGCATGCAGAAGACAAGAATTATTAAACATAAAATAGGTAGCTTAGTGTTTAGCAAATAGTTATTAATGACTTATTTTCGATATCGGTGTACTTAGTAGTTGTCTTTACCTGTACGCAGTAAATATTTACGAATTATACATATAATAAATAATTGTATGAGAATTGCGTTATATTAAATTAAATTTACTTTATTTGTTATACATAACTAATAACATACATATGCTATGTTTGTTGTTTGTTGCAAATACATAGAGAAATTAGCTTCATGCTAGTTTTAACTATATTCTTGTAATACGCTAATTGTAAAAACTATTATAAAATTATGTGTACTTTTTGGTAGGACACACCAAAATCAATGTGTGTTTTGTAAAATTGTTTTGCTATTTGTAAACCAATTAATAACTATGAATATAAATGTATTCCATTTTTAAAATACATAGTTAAATATATGTAAATGACATACAACGTTTTCCATAAAATTTTATCATCGGTACATTTGTACATTAGCCACTAAGTCATTTTTGATCCTCGTTAATATACATAGATATATATAAGTCAGTACAATAATATAATTTCAATTCTCGCATAAACATACCCAAGTTGATAATCCCATTCTTTAGACTAAACTTATTATTTTGTGAAATTATTAATGAATTAATATTATATAAATATTGATATTTTGCGTATGCATATCTATTGACTTTGCCACACAATTGCATATACATATATACGAGACTTAATGAATGTGTATATTTTTATTATAAATAGTACAACGTAAACTTCTGAACTTATAAATGTAACATATATATATACATATATACATATGTCTTCCGAAAGAGTAAAATGTTGGCATATAATTACAAGATTTTCAAAACATCTATATATTAAGGCAATTAATTAAAAGCACTAACAATATAAGTAACACTACTTAGAGAATTATTTCAACATATTGCCTATATGCATAAGGATATGTATATTTCTAAAGTACACATATATTACTTAAATGTAAAATAATTGTCCTTTTAATGCAATGACCTATTTAGTGTGATAGACAAAACAGGTAAGCCCTTCTGTGATTTATAATTAAGCATTTCTTCTATATTGAGCTTGTTGTATTATACCTAAATTAAAGAGAATTAAATCAGAAGTTAAATATTTTACATATTAAATTTGTACATAAAAATAATGTAAATATTATAATTTTCATTTAGCCTTTGTAGCCAAAAGCATTAGGCGCAAATACATATAATGTCATATTAATTTATGAAATCATAAATGGGGTGTTTTTGATGTAGCGATCTGATATTTAAAATATTTAAGAGTATAAATAAATATTTGGCCATATCTCAGTTCCAATTATAAATAAAAGCGTTAATAATTGCAACACTCCATAAAATATCTTAAAACTAAATCTAAGAAAGCTTAGTAGTATCAAGTTTTGGTAGCGATTTCAATTAATATATATATACTATATATGTGAATTTGCCCAGCACACAATTACCTTATATTGCATCAGCATAGTGATACGAAGATCTTCAACGCCTGAACTTATTTGCCATTTGGGCAGCCGTGCTGACAGGTGGCCCTGCAGTTGGACCATTTTTTGGCGGTACTGATGCAGGAGGTGGCTTAACTGCGCCATAGCCATTATAGCCTTGGGGTGGTGGTTGTTGGTTTCCATTGGCTAAAAATTTCCAACTTCCATTATAAGTATATATGTAAGTGAAATGTAAAATTATTACCGTAATTGGAATTTTGTGGTGGGCCGTAAGGATGCATACGATTCGTGTTGGGTTGGCTATGCTTGGTAGGGCCAGCAGCATAGTTTTGCTGATAACCATTGCCAAAGTTTGCTGGGGGACATTGTGGTGGTGGAGGCCCAACTACTGGTGGAGCATTCCAAGCGCCTACTGGTGCAGGACCATTTGGTGGCTGTGGACCTGGTACTGCAGTATTCGCTTGCCATTGATTGGGATACCAGTTGGCAGGTGGTCCGCCAACTTGTGGTGGTGGTGGTCCGGCATTCCAACCATTCCAGGCGTATGGTGCATTCCAACCATTAGCTGGTGCTGGCGGTTGCGGATATGGCCCATATTGTGGTGGTGGCGGGTGTTGCGGTGGTCCCCAATAATTGTATGGTGCTCCTTGAGGGTATGGTGCAGGTGGTCCCTGTTGGTATGGCGGCATTGGCTGTTGTGGCACTGGAGGACGGAAATTTGCAGGTTTTTGTCCACCTGGTATTAATTTTTGTCCATTATTAGCACTTGCATCATCTGCGCCAGCCTCATTTCCCTGTTGCTTTTCTTGCTTATACACAGACTTCTTAACATCAACCACAACATATTTAATTGTATGTGCCTTTTGTACTATAAAAATCAAATTTCAGTTAGCATTCATTGTTTTTAAGAACGAAAACTTACGTATAGCTTTATCAACAGAGTCATAGTCATCGTATTCTATAAAAGCGAATCCGCGCCGTTTTCCGGTTGTTCTATCCGTAAGAATTTTTACAGATATAACATTTCCAAACTTAGAGAAATATTCTTCCAGGCATTTTTCATCGTGATTATCTTTAAGTCCGCCAACAAAAAGTTTTTTAACAGAAATGTTTGTTTCTCGTGTCTCACGTTCTGGGCGAGGGAGGGCTCGTTTTGGATCTACTGTCCTAAGGGCGACAAAAAATATGATTAACATGAAGTATGTATTATATTAAATTTACATAATTACTTATTTAGTGCCATACAATGTTATCAATATTATTAACTTGGTTTAGTTACGCGAGTACTTACTTGCTATCAATTATGTGTGGTCTATTTTTCTGCGCCTCATCTACACTAGATGCTTTAGTATATGTAATAAATCCAAAACCTCGTGAACGCTTTGTTGTTGGATCGCGCATAACAACAGCATCCACTACCGTACCCCATTTTCCATAAAATTGTTTTAAGTTTTCTTCTGTAGTGTGTGACGCCAATCCACCTATAAAAAGTTTTCGAAGGTGTTCCAGTTCACAGATGTCTTCCTGAAAAGTTGAAAATTGTTTTCCATTAAAACAATATCCATAGCGTATTTGAAATATGAAACTTACTTCGTCATGAGCTTTAGTATTATTTGGCGACTCCACTAAGCTTACAGTTTCAACTTCGGGTGTCTCGACTTTTATCGACATTTTTACAAAATTTGTTTGCTTTACTCAATTTATTTAAAAATGAAATAAAATTTTGAATTACTTTTGACTGAATTCAGAAAATCTTTAGTTATCTATACAGGAAGAAATAAAATGGCGAACAAGTTGCCAGAATAATGGAATAGTATGAGTGCACTGCCATATCATGAGATAATTATGATAAAACAAATATTGCAATTAGATTTTATTATCTAAATACGGTTTTGCAATTATAAAAAAAATTTAATACTTTCAATTTAATGGTATGCATTTTAATAACATTAAAATAAATAGCGAAGGATTCCGGGCCAATTTATAAAGTGAACATATGAACGAATGGCAACCTCGAATTCTTATGTATTTTCGATTTCTTTTTGCTACATCTCTAGCAGAAAAACATTTATTCACTTTCTCAAAATTTTCTGTGACGAAAAATTATTTTTTTCTATAAAATGTAAATATAATTCCAAAATCCTAAAGATAGCGGTTGATTGAACCTTTTAGAAGTTACTGTACTAAACTCACCACGCTGCATTCCAACTTAGCATCAGCTGTTAGCGCTGTTTATGCTGATAAGACTAATTTGTTTGGTGCAAGAAAAATCAGTTTATTGGCGAGTTTACTTCTCTGGCAGAAAAAGTTAAGGTAAGCTTAGTGCCGGAACCGCAACAAATTGCAAATATTATACAGTTGCATACCGACCGACTCTCCAGAAAAAAATTTTATACTGTTCTGAATTGGCAAGTTGATTGTGTAATGATGCTAAAGATAGTGTCTTGCAATAGTAAACATTTACTTTAAAATGTAGTTGCATAGTCTCAGGCGTTAGAACATGTGTTTTTATATTAAATATAACTCTTTCCAAACTGCAAATAGTTCCTAGAATTGTGCCTTAAATATATTTTGTATGCAATAAATAAGAAGTAATGGCAGAAGAAAGTTCATGAATACTGCAGTACTAGTTAGTTCTATCGGAAACTATTTCCTCCAAAAGAACAAAGTTGTATCCAATGGGAGCAACATTTGACACAATAATAGGTTTATATACTGTTCCAAAAGACAGCCCGATTACTATTTCCTCAGTCGTTTACGCGGCGTTTTCCGATTTGCTCATTTCTGGTGTCAATTGTATTTAAAACGATACCACGGAATGTATTTCCAATTGCATATAACTTTTTTTGTTGCAATTAATACGTAATAATTTTGATTTTTTGATTTTTTGAAAACACAAAAAAAATTGTACAGATGAAATTTCATTGTATTCGAATACTTCATGAATTGTTAGCAACAAAAAAAAGTTGATTTCGGTTGCACCGATTATTTTAGTAGATCACTTTTTATGTTTGCTACATGTACGTACATATGTATATACTATGTATGTTATAGTGGTACAATTTGAACAATTTGCTCGAAGATTGTAGCGTTGCCTATGCCAAATTTTGTGAAGATATCTCACCCAATAAAATAGTTTTAAATATATACAGCTATATCCAATAATGGTCTACGAATGAAAAAGTTGTGTGAAAAATATTAAATCTATATCTCAAAAATTAAAGGACCGACGGACGGAAATGCCTTCCAGCGCCATGGAAAACTATGGGGATTCTGAACAAGAAATTATTCAACCGCCATTTACGTTTTCATCTGGGTGTTACAAACGTGGTGGCAAACTTCATATACCTTGTCAGGGTTAATTATAATACCATACATTCAAGATAACAACACACTTACCTTTCTATGTCTTTTACCGAAATCTTCAAATATTATTTTTTCCGATTAAATATTTCTTGTCGGCGCTAAAATTGACCTATTGTATTCGTTGCGAAAATATTGCCATATCTACTTTAATTACAAATACAAAACACTCACCCGAGAATAAACAACGGTTGAATGCATAGCGAAGAACTTAATCATCGATGCATTCTCCTTGAATGATTTTTTACACTTAAATCTGTACATACCCACGAACTTATGTATTTATAAATTTTGTTGTTGTAATTTAGCTGAAGAAAAGATTTTGCTGTATTTTTAAGGAGTCCGTTTGCATGCGTACATATGTATTTATGCTTTAATTTGAATGAAGCATCTCGATACGTATCTACCATATTTGTTACATATCTACGTACATTTGTACGTACGTCTTACTTCTTAGGGCAGTGATAGCAGAAACCACTATTGATTAGCTTTTTTACAGTTACCACTAGGTAAATTTTCTTTAGTTATTCCTTAAGGGGCACACTTAGCCTTCTAAACCTTCTCTTTTCATTCAATTCCACCAGATTATTTTAAAACGTTTTCTTTCTCAAAATAACACTTTTCGAATTTGCTTGAATGAATGCTCGAAGACAAATGTTCACATCACTATGAAATTTATTCTGCATGATCTCCATCCAATATATGGGTTTCCTCGGGTAAAAACAGCCTTTTTCAAAGACATTCTGAAATTTTTGAAATAAAATAATTTAAACTCGAACATTGCGACGCCATTTCCGGTGATCCCTCGAAAAAATATGCGCCCTCCTTCGCAGTATAACTCCTTACAGGATTATCTAAAGTAATAAAAATACGTGTTTAAGTTAAAACTTTAACTTAGAACTTGGACGGACGAAAAGCTTAAAATAGGATGTTTGGCAGACATTTTTACAAAAATATGAAAATTTCAGTGAAAATTTAGCGAAAAATAGTTGTAATTGAAAAAAATAATCCTTCGTCCAAGTCTTTAAGCATTGTATATCAAAGACCTATGTAAAGTTTCATGAAGATCGGTTGAGTAGTTCTGGAGAAATCTTTGCCAACCGACTTCAAAAACACAGTTTCGAGAAAAACGCTTTTAAAGACGACGCACTTAGCCTAATTAGCCTCGAGGGCGCAAGTTCTCAAGCCTGTATCTCCGAAACTGTTACTCGGATCAACTTGAAAATTTAGGACAATATTCCAGGGGAGTCCCATCGCTATCTTCTCTCTACATTTCGACTGCTGGTTTCATTGACATCTAGGAAAACTTGCTTTTGAACATAGCTGTCGGTTAACTAAAGGTATTCTATGAGAGTCGTAAGAGGTTCAAGCCTGAGAATTAACAAAGAATTAGCAATGTTTTTTTTATTTTTTATTATCTTTATTATAATAATTAATGGGTTTAATTCAAAGCTTCTAGTATGCTAGAATATATACAAAAATCGAAAAAAACTCAAATAAAGTGCAAGCGAAAACCAACAAGCGCCCGCTGACTATTATTACAATTGGCTAACACGAATCTATGAGTGAACTTAAGCCACCAGAGGCACTACTTCCGCTTACGCCTTTGTAAAATGCGCGTTCACTCAAATCGCCATAATGGCCACCAAGGCGTTCAAGCTGATTAGCGGCTAGTTGTGGTGTGCGCGTCTGTGGTTCTAGCCCCGAATGTGCCGTTGTTTGTGTGTAGAAATTGCCATCAAGCGTTGGTGTGCTTGTGGCGACATTATTGTTGTTGTTTATGCCATCCAGTGTACGCGTATGCTGCACGATCGAATTGCGTGTTTGCTGCTGCGGCGCCGTTGGTGGCGGTGGCAGCGCGGAAGGTGCTGGTGGTGTTGGACCAGTTAGTGTTGTTGGTGTTGGTTGTAAAATGCCATTATTATTGGGTGCATGTTGTTGGTAGAAACCCTGATGAAGATTCGTTATCATTCGCATGGGCGGTGGATAGCTCGCTGTGTGTCCCATGATTGTGGTCATAAAACCATTGGCCACGACAAAATTTCTGAAATGGAAAGTAGCAATAAAGAGAAGTTCATTTGTAAGTTTGTATGCGTATATACTACATATTTTGAGTTCAGGTGAACTGTATGTATGCAGATTTGTGTGCGTGTGACACCGAAATTGTCTGCCTAGGGCTAATTAGTCGTAATTGTGCGCGTAAATGTCGTAAAATTAATTTCGTGTTAATTTTATTGTAAACAATAATTTTTAAGATGACAGTTTTTACTTCCGTTTATTTTATGCTTCAGCGCTTCCAAATGAGAGGGGAGTTTATTGTGGGTGCTGATGAAGGATTTCCGATATTTAGAATATATTGCGTCCTTAGAACTAGTGCTTTTTGTATGTAAATAATAGAATTCCAAATATCAAAAATAATTATATGAGAAGTGTTCTAATTGATTCAGAATTTAAAATCACTGACTTAGAATAAAAAAGAGAATGAGGGAGTTCGTTCAACGAACGGTACAGATAGGATGAAAAGATCAAATCGGCTTAGAGACAGCATTTTTTGAAAAAAATTCGATACACCGATTATAGCGATCATTCGACTTTTAGATTTATTTTATTTYTGATTAAATGTCTATAGTAATATTTGTGTTTTGCTTCAAAATAGGCCTAAGTAATAATAGACTCGACCGGTGACCACTTTCTTGATTTCCGAGAACATAAAACAGCTCGGAGCTCAAACCGATTCACAGATGTAGAAGCTATTGGAAGCTCAATTCACGTTTTTTTGCCATTATTTTCTTTGATACGGAAAATTGACTGAATGTGATCTACTTTTCTCAGATTACCATAATAAGGTTATCGTTGAGGGTATAAAACGAGCATACCTATGTAACCTTATGTTGAGCAACAGACAGAAGTCTTGCTCGTAAGTACTAGGAAAGTGGAGGAAAGTATATCTTTAGCTATAGGGGAATGTGAGATTCATTTACATCCGCAGCTTAAATATTTATTGACATCCATGGTGGCGAATACGAGCGGATATACAAGTTATCAGAGGCGTCTATACGAGCCAAAAGAGAAAAGAGAGTCAAAAGCTTAACAATATGGCAGCAGCGGTGGCAAACTTCATTCAAAGAACCGTAGGCTCACAGACTGATACCGGACATCCATTCTTGGATCAATAGACGACTTGGGGACTTGGAGTACCACCTAACCCAAATATTAAGTGAACATGGCTGCTTCAGATTCCAGTACGACATTAGTCCAGATTGTCCCACTTGTTCCGAATGCTTTGAAGATTATGAGCATCTAAACTTAAAAATACACTCAGTGGTAATTCTGACAACACTCATGTGTCAGTCCACTGAGAACTGGAAAGCGGCGGCCTCAATCATGATAATACTGAGTCAGTCATAGAGGAGACTTAAATGTTTTATCACTCCCACGACCCACCACGTGGTGTAGAGGTGGAGAGTCTGAAGTTGGGAGCAGGTTAGGTTGAAGTTCCGCACTCCGGCTTTCAATGTTTCTCCCTACTTAAAAAAAAATCTTATGCTGACATTGACCTTAATTAAGGTAGATAGGCTGTGGAAATGTGGAAAAAAAAACATTTTTAGACCACTTTTCATGCAAAAATAATAAAAAATCTTTGCAAATAAGCCAAATTATTCATTGAGGCCTCATTTTCAATCAATAATTTTCGAATTTGCTGAAGAACTTGCGCTCAGTTTTTTATTGTAATTCCCTCATTTAAATGATTTACTTTAAACGTACTTTTGTTCCGCCTAACGATTTCTAAAGTCTTGATGAAATTTCAATATATAAGTATATGTATATATTTCTTTTTCTTTCTATAAACTGCTACAGTATCTACGTGCTGAACTTGTCTGCCTAGAACCATTTATGCTTTATTAAAATGTAATTTATGATTTCTTATAATATGTATATATTATACAAATTCCGAAAATTAGCATCATAACTGTATTCTTACCTATATTGCTGATCGATTTGAGCCTTCTCAATGCGTTTGTCCTTCGCGCGGCGATTTTGAAACCAAATTTTGATTTGTGTCTCGGTTAAACGCAATGTCTCCGCCAATTCAAAGCGTCGATTTCTTGAAATATACTCATTGCGATGAAACTCGACTTCCAGACGCAACGTCTGCTCAGTGCTAAAGGTGGTGCGTTGTCGCCGTTGACGACCCTCCTTCCGCCTGCGACGAGCAACTGTAAGACAAACAAACAAACAAACGCTTGCACTTCAGTTGCCGAAACCGCAGTAATCATTCAATACAAATTGGTATAAAAAAAGTTAAGCTCTTCTTATAACACTTGCTTGTTTACGCTGATGTGCCCATTACATGTGTAACTGATATTAATAACGAATGGAAATATATATTTACACTTACATATGTTAACCGCCCTGATCTTTATCTATTTTTTTATTCTATGCAATATTTATTAGGGCAACTACACGCACCGTCCGCAAATTGAACACAATGCAGCCACTAAATGGAAATTAATCTCCCGTTTGTGCAATCAAAACATATTTAAAAAATGATTTAATGTTTTGCGGCACTAACATCCTAGCTTACGGTATTTATATGTTTATGCTCGTAATGTGCTATTGGTAAAGAGCATAATTGCTTTGAATTGTGCGTGCAAACCATTGTAAATGATAAACAACTAATTAAGCTCTCAACCAGCCGTGCCATCGCGCCTCCCTCCCACACAAGGCGAGTGCAGTTAACTGTGGCTGTAGTGTTACCACTCTGGCATTCCCAAATATGTATGTATATCCCACTTGTTTGTCCGCGCACGCTTTGTCCTCACTTCTGATCCGGGAATTTTCACACAATGTAAACAGCTGCGCTAACGGACGCATTGTTTCCGTTGCCGCTGCGTTATTACAATTTCTGCACACTCAACTCCTTTCCAGTAGTAAAAAAAAAAAAACCCAAAAAAGCGGTCGGACACAAATAAAAGTTGGTTTTTGTGATAATACGCAGTCTACGCTTTTATAAAATGAGTTGGACTACAAATTTGCTTATAATCCTTTCTAGAGCGGCTTTGCTTGATTCGCAAGTGCATTGAGTTGACAAAGTTTCAACACTTTTTTCCACTATTAAATTAAATACACTAAAAAAATAAAAACTATGCACCCTCTAATCACATTATTCATTTTCATTAGCTTGGCTTTTTTCTGGTGCGTCAAGCTTTTTTCACGTAATACGATATGCTCCACTTCTCAGCGTGCTTGCTGGAAATCCTGGTTGTGTTTTTTAGGTTTCCTTTTCATATCAGTTACCGTGCTTGAATACTTTTCGGTTTGCGTAATGAGTTCTTAATCCGTTCTTAGTTTTTTCCGAGTTTTTTTTTTTTTCAAGTAAGCTCAGAGGAGAGAGAGAGAAACTCCTTGGCATTAACCGGTTTTACCGCAAAGTGTAAATGCAAAAACCGCATGCATGGTTTTAAATACGAGTGCTAAGCGGTATATTTTTTGTAATCCTTTGGCTATACCTTGCATTGCCATGGACATTCATTCAGCAGTAACAAGTTTGTTATGAAATTTGATATAGTCACACTTTTTGCCTTTGCGGCATCGCTCCTATCTGTAAGCATTTTTTATTTTATATACTCTAAAAAGTATCATTATCACACAGTATATATTTATGATATAATATATTCATAGCGACACTTTTTTTTTATCACTTTTATGACGCACCTGTGCCAAATTGTGCGTGAGAAATTTCTGACTTTACTCATAAATACACGTTTCCTGCCTCTAAAATGGCCGCTTCCTTTTTGTATCGCTTCGATTTTATTAATTTTTTTCCTTATCTGCCTAGCAATGTATGCGGCATTTCGTCAGATTTTGCCTAAACAAGTGTGGCTGAAACCGTTGCCAAAATTTTTCGTTAATCAACAGACACGGATACTTACACAGCAGCCAGAGCATATTAAGGTGGGTCTATTGCAGTTTCATTTGTAGTTCTTTAAAAATATTCGACGGTGCTACTTACAGTTACCGCCCACGCCGAAGCCCTGCTGTCTGGCCGGTTGCACGAATTGCGTTTGGGTCGAATATGCGCATAAAATTGCGGACTTATTGAATGGTTGTGACGAGAAGGCGCAAGAAATTGTTTTGAATAAAGTACCAGATCCGGTGTTGAGAAGTTTCTTGAAAGTAGAATTGAAAAGCATACAACAGCAAAGAGAACGCGAACATTTCGACGACTGATAAGGTAATAGTTGCTTCCCATTTAGTTCATTACAATAGTTCCTTGCTTTTGATTTCATATTTGAAGCATTTTTATTAAGGAGGAGCGTTTTGAAAAGGTGAAAACAACCGTTTTTAGTTATGCAATATACTCAACTAACGAAATACAAGCTAAAAAATAATTGGAGACAATCAGCTGTTTATTATGCTATCGCAATGCATGGGTTAAGCTAGGTAAATAGGATGATTACTCGCGAGACCACAAATAATTCCACATGGTCTGCTGGAGCTGGTTATCCGTTGTGATGTTCAGAATTACTAGTATGTATCCAAGATACCGTTGGATGTCGGTTTGAGACTGGAGCTTACCATTAATTTATTGATCTGGTTAATATCTACTCTAGTCAGTTCAACGGGTTAGTAGAAAGTATAGTGACGAGATTCAAGCTTACTCTGGCGAAATCTGGACAGTTGTGGAGAAAGTATTTTGACGTTTCCACCTCATCTTTCTCACTGCAACTTTAACAAGTTGTGTTCTCAAAAATCTTTAGTCTCATCGGATGACAGTATTCACCAATAGTACCGTATTCACTTAGAACGCCTATTACGACATTATGAGCCTTGCTAAAAGCTAGCTGTTCAGTGGACTTTCATGTTTCGCAATCCGCAAAGTTCTGGTTGCTGACCAAGATTTGTTGAGCTCGCGTGACGCCCATAGATCCAGTGCCCGAATACGCGAAGACAGGAGAACCCCTGCTCATTCCTATCCTAATGGAATTAGGGTATTGGTGTCTTCTTGGAGTTGGAGATACTTTGAAGCTTTGCTGGTGAGGTCCGTGCCTAGCTACACTGTCAGCGAGCTGTCTGTCTGTGTGTATGTATTATTGCAGTAGTCGTAAAAATTTTCCAGTTTTTAATTTAATATTCATTTGAGCCCGTTTCAGTTCCGAAGATCCGATTATCTTAGGAACGGAATTGGAATGTGTCAAAACGTGCTCCAATGTTCAATTTTCCATTACCAAACCGTTTGAGTACGCAGCCGGAAGAATTAAAAAATTTCGACTCACACTTATGAAAAAATTTAAGACGACTGCCAGTTTGTAGAACATTGGGCATATAATTCGTCTTTCTGTTTGTATATACGCGAAGTAGTCTCTCAGATTTTGAGACATTCATCTGAAATGTTGCACACGTTCTTTTCTCCTTAAGAAGCTTTCGCTCTATCGGAATGCTATAGCGTATAGCCGCCATACAAACTGACCGATCCATATCAAGTTCTTGTATTTACAACTTTTTCTTCACGAAATTATTATTATTATTCAATGTAACGGCAAAATCTACGAACAAATTGTACAAGCTGTACAAGCTGACCGATATAAGTTAGGTTAAGGATACACATGTGAAGGGTATTATGATTCGATACCGTTGATGTTAATGTTTTTCTTGTTTAATTACTTTTACTAAATAACTATGTCTTAGTTATATTCAATTAAATGTGTAAATTTGTTTCGTTTCTTCCACAGAGATGCGACCTTTATGTCGCCAACCTTACACACGAGGCCTCTTAATACAACCCGCTAAAACAGTACTTAATTACCTTTTGCGCATATATGGTGATAAATCAGGCAAAATTGAGGTAAGTATTTGCTACCCTTGATACTTTTAACATTCTTGTTAATAAAAGTTATTCGAATAGATTCCACCCGAACCCACAACATGCTGCATGTCTGGTTGTGCTAATTGCGTTTGGATCGAATATGCAGAGACTTTGTCAAAACTTTTCGAAGGTAACGACGAAAAGGCGCGACAAATTATATTAAGTAAAATAACAGATCCGAATTTGAAAATGTTTTTAAGTATGGAGTTGAAAAATATTGCACAAAGCAAAGCCGTACAAAGCAGTACAAGTACTTCGAAAAAGGATCAATAGCCGCTATGGAATATATTAGATAAATTTTTGCCTTCCCCTCTGGTTAACAATAACCTTAATATATTTATATGCTATACAAATTAAGTGCAAAATAAAATAGTTTAGATATACAAATGAAAAAAAAAAAATTTAATGGCATTTAATTTCATTAATTTTTAGTTGAGAAGTTTCCCCCGTTGTTAAGTTCACTTAGTTTTGAAAATGATCTTTCGCAGATATTTTTTACTCTTGTCTTCTTCTATTCTATAAAACATGTGTTATAAATATTTCTTTATATATGTACAAAGCGTTGAGTTCTTCCAAATATCTTCGAGGGCGAACCAATAAGTAACCCGCGATGGCTTCACTATCGCAAAAACTTTACAATGATCGGACGACTTCTATCAAAATTTCGGCCGAACTGGAAGCGCAGTAAAATAAAAATAAAACGCTTTATTACTGTATACAGTAATTCTTCTCCTCTTACCCTGGCGATTATCTTTGAGTCGTTTCGTGAAAGTCGAAGAAACATAGATCCTCTGGTATTTACCAGAAGTCGAAGAACAGTGGAAACAGTGAACTCTTTCTCTTAAATCTTCTCAAAAGAAGGTGAAGACTGTCCTATACTCCAGAAAGGCAACGAACACCGTCTTCTGGGATACTTTCAGAAGGGCAAAGCTGTAACAGAATTATGACGTCGACGTAGGATTACGAGGAAAAGTGGTTTATTCATCGAATAAAGTTGTGGTCTTTCTAATTGATAACGGTAGAGTTTTAAGCCAAATGGATTTGTATGTAATAATAATATTAGGTATCGAAGAAGAAGCCTTTACAGAATGACATTAGCGCCAATTATAAATATTTTCGCAAATCGTTCCCACGATAGCCGGGTATAAGCTGCCGGAACGGATCCGGTTTTTTTATATTAGAACTGTCAACTCGGCAGCTCGGACGTCGTGCTGTCCGCATCATAATTACTGGCTTGTTTAAGACCCGTGCCTGTGGCCTGTATGGTGGGAAGCAGCCTCAACTGTCTTGGCGTCCCAAAAACTCCTCTCAATTCAGCGTTGTATAGTATAAAGCTTGCCTGTTTGTACAGCGTGCTGTGCATGCAGGTTAAGAAGGGGCTTGAGTGTATCATTGCTAGGAAATGATTAGACTTCCGACGATGATGTGGAGAGGGAGGGGCTTCTAGGTAGCAGGAGGCTCTGTCGTTTTCGCCTATTTCTAATGCATTTAGTTACATATATTACTTTTCTCATAAAGTTGGTTAAAGTTAATATTAAAATGTTCAACAAAAATACGATAACTAAAAAGCTTAATGCATGTATTACTTACGAAAGGCCGTAAAACCGGCGGTGAAGTGGGGTTCACCCGGAAATCCAAATGGAATATTTGGCAACGCGGTCCCCGTACTGTAGCAACTTTTATTGTACTCATGCGCGCTGTACGGATCATACATGGTACATCCATTTGGCAATCTAAAGTGAGAAAAATTCAGTGCGCTGTAGAAGATCAATATCCGTAAAAAAGATATTAACAAAAAATGTGCTTAAACACAATTATATAATACTTTTTTAAAGCACTTAATTTTTACTTAAATTTCACTTTAAAAATCGCACCTCACATCGTCGTTTATGGAGATTTCTGGCGAAGACACACTGCCCTCATCGCTCTGATAGGTGCTGTCACATATTGTTGCACTCAAATTGGTCACACTAATTTTTTCACTATCATTAGTTGCTGTGATTTGTGCTGATTTATACGAATCATCAGCAGTGGCACTTGGATTTATATTGGACACAGTTTCATTCGTTTCGAGATGACCGTAGAGACGTTCGAAAAACTGTCGCGGAGATGATGGACGATTTTGCGTAGTTTTATCAACAACGGTCACACTGGGGTTTGAATTTATCGGATGCATTGTTTACATACGAATGAGCCGTTTAACGGACGATCGACGTTTGAACCGAGCTATTGCAGTTTATGAAACTGAATGAACTGCTGCCGTAGAGGTGTTTAGCTTTACTGTTTTAAAACTGCAAACTATAGTTATTAAACGTATCCTGCGATTATGACCGAGCAGCACTTTTACTTCCGTTCTTGTATGAAAAAACGACAAAAAAATAATTTAGGCAGCGCTTAGCAGTAGTGGCCAGCAGCGTCTTAGTATTGGTTCCTTTCAACACCTACACCTCTTAACGCCGCCACATATACACCTTGCAACGGTAGATTTTCGGTTTTACTACTTAAGAACTGCACCGAATTCAGCCAGTGCAAAAGTTTCGAAGTAACTTAAATTAATGCTAAAAATTTATATCAAACCTAAGGGAAAGAAAGGTGTTTGTGTATGTAACTATCTATATACATACATACGTACTTACATATACACCGCATTGTTTAGCAGGAGGCGTGTTTTGATTGGTTGGTGCAGAATAATTTCATCCCTGGCACAAATGAAGCTAAACACTCGGAAAAATTACATGTTCATTTTATCCTTTCAATTTTTAGAGGCTTAATATTCAGTGTGTGATTTTCCGATAGATATCGTTTCATCACAAAAATTTTGAAAAATATAGTAATATATAAGAGGGGTCGATGCTTAGTTTAAAAATAATATTATAAATATACTATAATATCAGGCATATGATTAACAAGGCTGGTTCTATGGTATGATATCAAAATAGGATTGCCATTTGGAAAAAAACTTCTACTATAGTTTTATATGTGGTGCGATATTTATATTTATAAAAATTTTTAGCATATACATATAACATTTTTTTGTTTATTTAGGGGTTACATGAGTTTCGTCGGATAAAAAACGGTCTTTTTCAATTTTTTTTTAGATATTAGAATTTTTTATTGTTACAAACGTTAACAACCGTTAACAAAGAAATCTCAAATTTTTGGGAAAATATATCTTAAACTGAGCCATTTGGACGCCATTTTCGGTGACTCCTTGGAAAAAGAAGAGCCCGCGTTTAAAGACTGTGCACAAGTTCTATATGAATAAAAATAATACAGAATTTAATGTACTTTAATACTCCTACGATCTCCAGAAGAATCTCTGAAAAAACTGGTTGTCAATGAGGAAAATTTTTCCGCTTAAAATTGTCTCAAATCAAAAAAACCATAATTACTAAAGATTAATACATTTAATGGTCGAATCATTTAATGGTCGAATCTAGTCAACATTCTAATTTTGAAAAAAAAAATTCTTAAAATGTCGAAATTATTTTCAAAAATTATTATTTCTTCGACAATTTTTATACAAATATACCTATAACAGAGATGATTTTCACGTCGGTCGTACAGCCATTTCAAGGAAATTTTTATCACCGCCTCTGAAAACAGCGTTTCAAGAAAAAGTTGTGGTAGCCGATTACCATAAGTTGAAAAATTCTTACGAATTCATTGTAACTCTGAAACTATTTGTCGGATCAACTTAAGAATTTCAAGATAGTAATATTTTCTAATGTCTCCACTTTCCACTGTTCTGCTGAATACAAATGCGTACAAACAACAAAATATACGTACAAAGAAACGAATATGTTCCAAGCTTAAAGACTTTGACTACGACGACCTTCCTTTCTTTCCAATTTTCATTGAAGAACGAGCTAAAGTACGCAACGCTGACTGTACACCGGGTCTAGTAGTTTTGGTCTTGTTACCACTGGTAGCTCGCAATTGCTGTGTAGAGAAGTGATGTCAAGAGTTTTGCATTTCCAAATCACATTCATTCAAAAGCTAAAGCGAAAGTGCAGCGTCTTAGCAGCTAACATAATAGAGTAGGTTTAACATTTGCCCGAACCGGATATTGAAAAAGTCGTACAAATATATACAGTGTACCAAAAATTTCAATACTCTTTTGTGCGCCTTTGTGTATGTAATGTGGCCACTAGGCACTCACACATATTCGTATAATTATGAGAGAAGTTACAATGTGAAATCGGCTCCTCCCATTTGCAAGGATAGAATAGAACTACAATACAAGAAGGGTAATTTGGATAATCAGAACGAAAATTCTTCTGAGGCGTTTATTAGAGGCAAAAATATACACATGTATATGACATACATGTCAGTGTACACTAAAATTATTGCTTATAATTGTTGCTTTCAATAAACTTCTATGATTGTTTATGTTGATGTGTAAAAACTTTTACTTAATATTATTCCAAATCACAAAGAGCAAAAAAATAAAAAATGCACATTATTATTTAGAAGTTAGAGTTACATACACATTTGTAAATATATATTATAGATTTTTGTATGCAAAACTTCGAAATTAATAATTTTAAAATATTTTTTGCCCAACGTAAAATGTATATAACCTTCAAAATGAAAGTTGCACCTACATATGTATATACAATATATGTTTATAAACATTTATGCATGTGTATGTTTATGTTCATATACATATGTATCTATATGGAAGCAAACGTACTATATGTTCGCTGGGTTATTTCCACCGGAACAGATGTTCATTACAATGGGAAACAAAAACAGATACTTATATCAGTAATAAAACAAAGCACAGGGTGACAATAATATGTAATTACTTTCCGAAATAGTTGTTTTTGTTTCTTTTTTGACAAAATTAGCATTGATGATGTATAAAATTCTATTATTTACTGATATAAAAAAGCTTAATTAACTCACTTCTTATTCAATAACATTAAAATAATTTCATAATGCTTACATTTATACGATTATATCACTCTGTATATGTTCACTTTCAACTTTTTAATCAATTCCACACAGTCTATTTCAGTTGGTGAATAAAATCGAATTGAGTCGGTCATATTTGTGTGTTGAGCTGCTCTTATGAAAATTAATATGCTTGTTTTGAAAGTTAATGCATATTTCGGTGAAACTTAAGTGTGTAAATGATATTTAGTGAAGGTGAATTAAGTTAAAAGAGCATATATTTATATATACCTAAAGCATTTATGTTGCAAAAATTCTTGTAAATACGTGAGCAAAACAACTGTAAATATGTCGGAGCAAAAAATAAGAAGACTGCGTTCCAAAATAAATTTGGCAAAATTAGATAATGGAGTTTTGCTGCGACAACTTAACATTGACGATAGCAATAACACCGTCAGCGATATTGTAGACAACGTAGACCAAAATGAAGAAG